TCTCTCTGTTTCTCTCTCTGTCTCTGTCTCTGTCTCTCTCTCTCTCATCTATTAAACTTAATTGCCGCTCATCTCCAACAACTTTTAGCTGATCTAAAATCTAGCTGATTCATTAGAATCTAATGATTAGATTATCAACTTTATTTTGGTTAAAGATTGTAGATGCATTCAGTGATGGAATTGGAGGTGACCCCAGGTAGATGACCTACTAATACAATCATTGTCATTTAAGACAATCGTTCTCACGCCTGCTTTCTTCCCTACTTCTGATTGTTGCTTCAGTGTCTGCTCTTTCCAGTACAATGTCCACTTCCAGTAGCAAAAATCCGTCCACTTCCTCGCTCATTTCCCTAAACGAACGAGCAGTGAGCCCGATTCTTGCCAGCTCGTCAAACACCTCATGGGACCTGCATGCAGATGACTTCACCAAGGAGTTGTCCTGTTCCCTTTGCCTCGAACTGTTTAAAGAGCCGGTCATTCTACCTTGCGGCCATAACTTCTGCAAACCTTGTCTGGAGGCCATCTGGAATAAAAAGGGTGTTTTCTGCCCAGAATGTCACGTCAACGTTCCTGAACGCAAGTTCATAATCAACCAAGCCTTGGAAAAGATGGCGGAGAAGATTAAGACTTTTCACATAGGAGGCCAACAGCAGAAATGCATGGAGCATGGCGAACCACTGACCCTTTACTGGAAGCCTCAAGGGAAATTAGCTTGTTTCACTTGCCGAGAAGCTCAGATGCCTAAGGATCAATGCTCTCAGTTTCTTCTCATCCCTGATGCAGTGCAGATATATACGGTAAATGACATGCTGAGGCTTGATCCCCATCAATGGTCCTGAGAGCCAGTCAAAGGGAAGCTTTTGAAGCAGGTTTCAGCAGATCACCTCTTAATATTCTGCAGTATTTCTCAAGCTCAGCAACTTTAAGCCGTGTGGACTTCAACTCCCAGAATTCCACAGCCAGCATGCCGGCTCTGGAATTGTGGGAGTGAGAAGTCCACACCGCTTAAAGTTGCTGAGCTCGAAAAACCCTTGTGTTCTGTTTGAAATGACCTACAATTCAAGGATGGCCCACATTTGAAGGCTAAGGATTTGGGGGATAAGTCACTTTTTTCAGTGCCGTTGTAACTTGGAACGGTCACTAAATGAACTGTTGTTAATGGCTTCATGCTTCTCTCAGACAAAGAACATTCCAATCTGGCTCGTGTCCAGGAAGTCCTCCAATGTCCTTTAGAAACTCCTCCCACTGACCTACTAACATGAGATAGCTGACTAGCTAAACTACATTACCCATAAGCCATCTCTTAAGGAGACAGCACTTAACCCAATAAATGCCAGATTCTAACATACAGACCTACGTGATCCAGAACACAAGTCGACCTGCACAAATGCCTACTTCAAAAGTGTGTTAAGCAGATGTGCACGCTCTTTGAAACGCCCACTGGTTTTCTGAGAGGAACAGTAGAAGCCAAACTTTCCACAGGACAAAGAAAATGACCCAGTCAGAATCAAATGTAAAGGACATTTAATCGAAACTGCAAATTTAACTCAAATGAAACCTGTAAAAGTGCAGTTACGTGATTATTCCCCATGTTTCAAAGAGTATTATTTTCTTTCTGCTACATTAAAACTGAAGAAGCAACAACTTTGACGGACTTGGGGTATTCTACCTAAGATTTTGATTAGAAAGGGAACATCTATATTGATACAGGTTAGCCTTGTATTTTAAACAATCATTTCAGAACTGAAAGTAATACTATATAACCTTGCAACTTAAAGACCTTTGGACTTCAATTCCCAGAATTCTGGGAGATGAAGTCCATAAGTCTTAAAAGTTGCTGGGAGTTGAAGTCCACAAGTCTTAAAAGTTGCCAAGTTGGACACCCCTGCTGTATATATTTGCAGCATTATTTTTCAACAAACCATGAGTTAGGGCAGTGATGGCGAACCTTTTAGAGACCGAGTGCCCAAACTGCAACCCAAAACCCACTTATGCATCATTGAGTGCTGGATGGGCGTGGCCCATTGGGTGGGTGTGGCCCATTGGGTGGGTGTGGCTGTGGTGGTAACGGCAGATTGGGTGGGACTAAAAAGTTCAATCAATCAATTCCAACTTTGCAAGATCTTTTTTTCCCGTGAGAAGTTGAAATTGACTGATTGAACCTTTTTTTTTGGCACACGGTGGCGGAGGCCTAAAGCGAAAAGGTTTTATAAAACCCAGCTGACGGCCTAGGACTGGGACGACGGCGCGCGTGCCCACAGAGAGGGCTCTGAGTGCCACCTCTGGCACCCGTGCCATAGGTTCGCCACCACTGAGTTAGGGCCTAGTGGGCATCTAGGAAACCCACTGAAAGGTTCAAACAACTTTTTAATCTGGCTAAAACGTAGCTGTAACTTGTCATATCCATAGGAAAGGCTACTCACATTGAGACTTCAGCTCAGGTCTATCCTGGTAAAACTGGATGTGTTGAAGAATGCCCAGGAGGAGAAAATATCCAGTCATAAAGTGAGTATGCACGAATTCAGAAGATACCATCCCTTTGAATTTTTTGGGGACGGGGGGGGAGGGAACAATATATTTATTCCCCCATTTTGAACACAAATACATACACTGCAAGCAAATAAAATCAGAATTGGTTTTTTTTCTTGGTAGCCATTATTAAAACGAGGAAGTGGGTCTAAAGCAATGTTGCAAACGCTCATTTATGGCGTAATTATTGTTCCATGGTAAATAACAGATCAACAATCAGAATCTCTATAACTAGTGTCCGTTAGTTGCATGGATTTTTGTTTTCAATCTTTTTTCTTTTTTTAAAAAAAATTATTTTCAGGAGAACAAATTGCAGCTCCAGTACCATATTTCCTTGGAGTTCCTAAAGCTGCACCAGTTTCTTCACACCAAGGAGAAAATGTTAATTCATCGGTTAAAGGAAGAGAGTGAAATCCTCCTGCAGGAAATGGAAGGAAACCTAAACAAACTCCAAGACAGATCACAGATTGCGAAGGACACCTTGGTCTGCATTCAGGCTCGGCTGTACCAGCAAAATTCTGCGGGTTTCCTAAAAGTAAGATTTCCAGATTGACACAGTTGAACGTGGTTTGGGATTATGTTGCTGGAGTTTCAGAGGTAGGACTCTCGGGCATCTGCTTAGCATCGAGAAGAAGGACGTAGTTGAGAATTACGATGTCAAGTAGACAAGGCCAAAGATAGAGCTTGCAACCATTTGGCTTTAAGATCATTTCATATATATTTTAGAAGAAAGGTATGAATGCCAACCAGGGCCTTGAAAACCGCGAAGACCATTGAGAATTTTGAAATCTAATCTACTACCTGTTTTGCTTTGTTGAGTTATATTTATGCTATAAATGGGTCCAAAGGGAAGGCAATTTAGAAATGATTCTTCTTCCTTTTCTCTTGTTTTTTTTTTCTTCTCCTGACAGGGAATAAAGCCATTTGTAGACCGGTGAGTATGAGTCTATAAGGAAATATTCCAAAATGATTATTGCGGACTTCAAGAGTAGCAAAAATATGAAGATTTACCACAAAACATAGACCATCCCCATTGGCCTGATCTTCCTGGAGCTGCATATCCTGCCTTGTCTGAAGGACCCAAACAAACATAAATACATAAGGGTCTTCCCTTGAGATTGGGAATCCCAACATTCATCCCTTCAGCATCTATGTAGTTTTCTTCTATGTTGAAGCAAACACATGTAGCGGTGTTCAAGCAATGAACGCATCCCAATAGAAGGGAATAGTTATTGTTCAGGGTTGAACTGTGTGGTCCTTGGCGCTCTCTGAGCTTGGTGTTTTCTTGCAGACGTTTCATTACCCAACTAGGTAATATCATCAGTGCATGGATGCTGTTAACTAGTTGGGTAATGAAAGGTCTGCAAGAAAACAACCAAGATCAAAGAGCACCAAGGACCCTACAAGGAATAAGTTAATTGGCCTATGTTGCTACTTCATTTTTGCTCCTTGGTTCCATGCAATTATATCAGACAGGAAGAAATGCCAGGGATGATGTTGGCATCAAACACAGCTCTTTTCCATATAGTAGCTCAGGGACAACGTGTAGCAATTCTTTGAGGCAGGAAGTGTTCCTCACTGCATTGCTCTTAGCCAGTATATCCCAAGATAATAGTCGTTTCTGGAATTATCTCCCCGTCCCCTCCCATCATTACCACATTTAACTAACTCTACAACTGTCCTGTGTAGGATGGAACAGAAAACTGACAATTCGTCTATGGGAGAATTAGTGACTGGGACGCTCAACCCTGGAGAATTCAAGGGCCCCATGCATTATACCATATGGAAAGAAATGAGAACTATCCTTAATCCAGGTAAAGAAGCAACCAGATCCAGTTGATCTTAACTGAAATGGATTTTTTCACATTCCTATCATGGAAGGAGGGATGGCGAAGCTCATGGAACTGGCTGGGGTGGCGAAAGAAGCTATTCTGATTAAGGAAAATACTTTAGTCTAACTTTGCTTCCACTTGGAAACCACTGTTGGACCTCTTGCTAGTAACTGAAAGAAACACACATTTAATTTTAGGATTTGTCACTTGGAACTGTTTATGATGATAGAAATACTGTGCATTGCTGTTGATTTTAGAATAAGAGCTTCATGTATTTCATATCTGTACAAAAAAGGGAAGTTAGCATACCGTGTAGAAAGGCCTTGTTTACTATGTGTCAAGTCATGTGGGGACATTTCCTGTGCTTCACCAATCATGTCCTTCCTTCCCCAGACATCACCTTCGTGACTCTGGATCCTAAAACAGCCCACCCCAACTTGATCCTCTCCGAAGGGTTGACCTGCGTCTGGCATAACGACATGAAGCAGATTCTTCCAGATATTCCAGAAAGATTTGACTGCAGTGTTTCGGTCTTAGCTTCTGAAGGATTCACCACCGGGAAGCACTATTGGGAAGTGGAAGTGAAGAAGAAGACCAAGTGGACCTTGGGAGTTGTTCGGGAAAGCGTTAACCGGAAAGGGAATTATCCCCTGTCACCCAAGGAGGGCCACTGGTTGATCAAGCTGAGGAATAAGAATGAGTTAAAGGCTGTAGATGTCTACCCCAAATGTCTAACCTTGTTTGGCAATCTGTGCAGAGTGGGGATCTATTTGGATTACGAGGAGGGCCAGGTATCCTTTTATGAGGCCATGGCCATGTCTCACCTCTACACCTTCACGGACACTTTCACCGAGAAGGTGTACCCCTACTTTTGCCCGTGTCTGAACGACTCTGGAGAGAACAAGGAACCACTGAGAATCATTGCTTTTGATATGTAGAAGCATGGTGAAGATGGAGATATCTCCTCAGCCGACATGTCTCAGCCTGGCTTTGTGGGAAAAAAGGACTTGTGGGGTACGCCTCCAGTGCCGATAGAAGGGCCCAACCATTTCCCTTGGACTTCTGCTGGGGCTTACTCCCAGCTGTAGAGTAGTTCCTTTGCCCCTTTCTGTGGTTCAGCTGGGACAACGGTCATGTCTTGAAAAAGTAGCCAGATGCCTCCTTGACCACTTAAACAGCATCTCCAATGGGGTCATCCGATTTCTTTCAGGGACAATTTCTGACTGTAAGGTTGAGCAGAAAGATGTATCCCAAGCTATTAGTGTTCCATTCCATAACACACATATGATTATAATAATAATAAGAATAATAATAAAGGTATCTTGATCAAATCAAAATAAAAAGTTAAATTTAAGCATGGCTTTTTTTCTCCTCCTGATGTTTGATGGAAAGCTCACTTCTTCAGAACCGGTGTGAAAACAGCCAAACATTCAGAAACCCGAGGAAGTAATACAGGTAGTCCTCAACTTACAACAGTTCATTTAGTGACCATTCAATGTTACCACAGCAGTGAAAAATGAGACTTATGATCATTTTTCACAATTACGACCATTGACTTAGTCTACCAAGATTTAGGCTTTTCTCAGAAAAAAGACTGAAAAGTTAACGTCGATATCTGGATGTAAATCCCAATACAGATTGTCACGTGATCAAAATTCAGATGCTTGTCAATTGGTTCCTTTTTATGACAATTGCGGTGTCCTGGGGTCACGTGATCCCCTTTTGTGACCTTCTGACAAGCAACGTCAATTCAGATTCACTTAACAATGGTGTTACTAACTTAACAAGTGCCGTGATTCGCTTAACAACCGTGGCGAGAAAGGTCGTAAAATGGGGCAAAACATAGCAGCCATTGAAATTTTGGGCTCAATTGCGGTTTGTAAGTTGAGACATGGCCTGTATTCCAAAATGAACCTCAGCTGTTGATTTCTGTTACTCTTTGCCCATTCTGTGGGTTTGAAATACCACTATTAGCGTGATTACGGTTTGCAGGATCGATATTTTGCAAAGGCCGCTCTTTTGAATCCGCAAGCAGGCTTCAGGGCCTCTTTTAGGCCCTTTATTTCCGGAGTTGGGTGAGCTCCAGGCTCTGGATTTAGCTGTCTTTTGCAACGCCCTGACCGGAGAGGAGACCCCCCACCCCCACCCCAGGAAGGAGAAGGAAACCCAGGTCTGTGATTTGCCTGCAGCTTCCACTGGAGAAATGCACACCCGGGTGCAAAAGTGCGTGCAAGAGAGGATCAGAGGCCGGTGCAAACCGCTCCCTTCCTCCCTTCAGGGCGGAGACATTTCGGGGCCTTCATTTGGACGGAGAGAAAACGGAGGACCGATGGAGCTTGGCGAGGGTCCTGCTGGGCCTCAAGGCGGGATGTTTAGAGGCCGCAGCGCCTGGTTCTCGCAGAGCGTCCCCCCAGAGCTCTACCACCTTTGGGGTGAGGTGGGGGGGCGAGGGAATCCCCCTGGGAGGGGGCAGGGGAGGGAGGAAAGCAGGGGAAGCCCCCATTGGGGTGAAGGGACCCAAGTCTTCCCCCAATTGCAATTAAGGGCTGCTGGTGAGAATCGGGCAGAAATCAAAATGGCGCCCATGTCATTGAAACCCCACCCCCTGCCCCCCAGGCATTGAATTTTGACAATGGTGGCTGGGGACCACCAGCAAATCCCAGAGGAAAGTTCCTCTGCCTGGGGAGGCTGAACCTAGAGACAGCCGGTCCTCTTTTTAAGAACAAATTACAGGGAGTCCTTGACTTATGACCGTAAAGAGGAACGGCTAGCATTTCCATTTGCTAAGCAAGGCGGTTGTTAAGTTAGTTGCAGCCCCGACTTCGTGACCTTATTTCTATATTTTTTTGCAAATCACGGCAGTTGTTAAACGAGTCATGGAGTCGTTAAGCGAATCCAGCTTTCCCCACGGACTTTGCTTGCTGAAAGGTAGGTGGCAAATGGCAATCACATCACCCTGGGACAGTGCAACCTGGGTAATTACGTGCCTGGTTGCCATGTGCCCAAATTTTAATCCACTGACCATGGGGATGTTTTGCCGGTCGTAAGGGCAAGGACCGGTTGTAAGTCACGTTTTTCAGAGCCGTTGGAACTTCAAACGGTCACTAAATGAACAGTTGCAAGTCAAGGACGATATCGATGTTAACTTTTCAGTCTTTTTTCTGAGAAAAGCCTAAATCTTGGTAGACTAAGTCATTGGCAAAGAATAGACTATACCAGGTAGTCCTTGACTTAGGACCACAATTGGGCCCAACATTTCTGTTGCTAAGTGAGGCGTTTGTTAAATGAATTTTGCTCCGTTTTAGGACTTTTCCTGCCACAGTTGCTAAAGTGAATCATTGTAGTTGTTAAGTGTGAAAAATGGGGTCATAAGTTACTTTTTTCAGTGTCGTCGTAACTTCGAACGGTCACTACATGAACTGTTGTAAGTGGAGGCCTTACCTGTACTGTGACTTCACATTTTTGTGTTGCATGATCTTCCCTGTGATGTTTTTCTGCAGTTGGTGAAGGAGGGGTGATTGTGAATTTGGAAGCTGCTGATTATCTCTTCAGCAGCAACGCTTCTCACCCGGATACAAAAAGGTATCACAACTCCGCTTGGATCAGTATCTTACGCGGTCTTATTTTATCCTCTCCCTTGAAGGATTCAAGACACCATGCGGTTCACTCTCCTACACCTTGTGAGCCAAAAGGTCTGGCTTCCTGTTATATTTTATTTATCTTTAGCTTCAGCTAAATTCTTGGCTGGGGTTTAGAATTTGATTATTTAATTAAGAGCTGCGAGTAAACTGCATGGAGGCCTAGAGGTGAAGACGCCTCTTGCTTGGAAGGTTGAGAGTTCAATTCTAGGCAGCGGCAGATGTTTCTCTATCAGTTAGAACAATTAACCAGTGGAACTACCTGCCTCCAGAAGCGGTGAATGCTCCAACCCTGGAAGTTTTAAAGAAGAAACTGGACAGCCATTTGTCCGAAATGGTGTAGGGTTTCCTGACTTAGCAGGGGGTTGGACTTGATGACCTCCAAGGTCCCTTCCAACTTTATTATTATTATTATTATTATTATTATTATTATTATTATTATTATTACACAGAGAGGAAAATATTTGCTGTGAACTCTGTGTGGGTGTCAGGAAGGGCATCCAGCCAGTAAACTCTCCACTCCATTCAGTCGCCCTGACTCCACCCTGAATAAAAGAATTAAAGGGTAGTAAAAAGGGGGGGAAAATGAAGAGCTGTGAGTCTTCTAGAGTCTTGTGCCATTTACTGTAGATAGATAATTGTGCATATAGATAAATTATCACATGCATACCCACCACCGTACAAAAATGGGCATCACATTGCAAAAAAATGCTCCAGTTTTGCTTGATGTGGATATTGAATAGAGATGAAGAAATTGCTTTGCGCTCCGGACTCACGGATTTATCAGAAATGTTCTGCTTTCTGAAAATCTTCGCTACCTTCCCTTGTGAGGTTGAAGTCTGACACAACACAAGCAAACGTGTTGAATTGTTTCACCTGACGTTCATAAGTTTCCTTCTTCTTGCCTAGAATACACCAAAGTTTAGCCTATCTAGAGGACCAAGTCACCGTTTTTCATTCCTGCTTTCTTACTGCGAGTATCGATGCTGAAATAAAGAACTCTGTACCTCTAGGACATTTCGTTCTCCTACCAGCCAGCTTGCAAAAAGGTTGTACGTATGGACCAGAATGAGCTATAAGTTTAACAACAATAATAATAATAACAAAAACAACAAGAACAGCAACATCTGCCTGTCTCAGGTCCTAGGGAAGATTCATTCTTTCTTTCTTTCTTTCTTTCTTTCTTTCTTTCTTTCTTTCTTTCTTTCTTTCTTTCTTTCTTTCTTCCTTCCTTCCTTCCTTCCATCCATCCTTCCCTTCCCTGCTCCTTCCTTCCTTCCTTCCTTCCTTCCTTCCTTCCTTCCTTCCTTCCTTCCTTCCTTCCTTCCTTCCCTCCCTCCCTCCCTCCCTCCCTCCCTCCTTCCTTCCTTCCTTCCTTCCCTCCCTCTCTCCCTCCCTCCCTCCCTCCCTCCTTCCTTCTTTTTAGCATCTTTCTTCCCACAGTTGTTAAGTGAATCATTGCGGTTGTTCAGTTAGTAACATGGTTGTTAAGTGGATCCGTCTTCCCCACTGACTTTGTCAGATGTCACAAAAGGGGATCACAGGTGCTGGCTGTGTGACCATTAGTCTTTTATGTTATAACGACCTGGGTAATGGGTTGTGTGATTACATCCTGAGATCTAGTGTAGTGATATCCTGAGTTTTGTGTTGCAACATCCTGGGTGGTTGGCTTGAATAAAAAAANATCCGGGTGATCCCGGATCTCCCTTCCTTCCGCCGCGCCCTTAAGACATGGCTATTTCAACTAGCAGGACTGGCCTAAGGGGTAATTTTTAGCGGGGTTTTAAATATAATTTTAAAATAACAAAGGCCAATCTAATATTTCTTTTTAATTATGTTTTAATGATAGTATTTTGGTATTTTTTGTATTTGTTTTTTATCAGGCTGTTAGCCGCCCTGAGTCCGCAAGGAGAAGGGCGGGGTAAAAATCCAATAAATAAATAAAATAAAATAAATAAATAAATTTGATAAATAAATAAATAAATTTGGCAGCTAGTGTAATTGCTAGTGAAAAATGGCCCTGTTGTTACATTAATAATTGAATAACCTTTCCCTTCTTGAGTGGTTTTCTTTTTCTTTTTTTTTCTTTTGCTTTCACTGTAGAAATTAGAAAAAAAATTGGCCACTTTATCTGGGAACAGATAACCAGTCCAGTTCAGGACTTACACTACCATCCACTTATACTGCAGGTAAGAAAAAAATATCTAGAATGCAACAGTTAACAATACCATTGCCCAGAGTTTTAAAATTTTTTGCTATTTTCCCTCAGGCAAAATTTTTCATAGAAGGTGTCTACTGCCCTATATAAGATAATAAGATTTATGAGGCTGTTTGGATTTCTTTTATAAACTGGTATAGCCAGATGGAATAATGAGACATTTGAAATTAAGGTCGTTTTTCTGTCCGCAGTCTGGTCCAACGGCTGAATCAAAAAGCATCAAGAAGCAGGAACAGATAAGAGACAAGAAAGAGCTGGAGAAATGGTATGAATTTGAATGGAATCAAGGATAGGAGATTGATATGTATTGAAGGGTAATGTATTGACTGAGAATAACTAATTAGTCCAATTAATCTGTTTCTCCTGGCTCTTGAAAATGATTAATCAGAGCAAAGCCTATATCCCTGATTCTTAGTTAGCAAGATGATAGATGAGAAAAATGATAAACTGAAATTAAAAACATCCCTTCTCACTGTATTTATCAATAGAGGAACTGTGATAAACCAGAGCGGGAGGGTGGGGGGTGGACTAAAAGTTCTCCACGGTCCCTTCCAGCTCTGTGATTTTAATATTTACGTTTCTTGCAGCCAAGGTCCAAGGACATCTGAAACAGGGAAGCTAACCTACATTCCTCTTCAAGATTATCCATCAAGTAACATGGTGACAGGTATATAAAATATATATAAAATACATTACTAAGACATATAGCTCAGGAGAGCAATAACTAGGTTTTCTAATGTCTCATGATGTTGGACAAATTAGAGGATGTTGTGGGAGAAATTCATCTGTCTATCTAGCTAAACTCCCTTTTTATGACCCTGTAATCCAGACATGTCAAATTCGCGACGTCACGTGACGTCACACAACGTATCGGGATGGTTTTGCCATTGCAGGCAATGGGGTGGGCGTGGTTTCTGGATGACGCATCCGGCCTGCGGGCTGGCAGTTTGACACTCCTGCTGTAATCCCTTAATTTGGGATAGTCAGGGCGACTGGATGGAGCTGAGCGTTTACTGGCTGGATGCCCTTCCTGATGCCTACACGGAGTTCACAACAGATTTTTTTTTTCTTTGCGCCATAGGATTGAACTCTCACTACCTAGGATTGAACTCTCAACCTTCTGAGTGAGAGGCGAGGGTCTTCACCATTAGGCCACCACTATCTATCTATCTAATCTATCTATCTATCTATCTATCTATCTATCTATCTATCTATCTATCTATCTATCTATCTATCTATCTATCTATCTATCTATCATCTATCTATCTATCTATCTATCTATCTATCTATCTATCTATCTATCTATCTATCTATCTATCATCTATCATCTATCTATCTATCATCTGTTTATTATCTTTATCATTTCTATCCTATCTGTCTGTCTGCCTGTCTATCTATCATCATGAGTATCTCTCTCTCAGTCAGTCTGTCTGTATGTCTATCATCTCTCTCTCTCTCTCTCTCTCTCTCTCTCTCTCTCTCTCTCTCTCTCTCTCTCTCTCTCTCTCTCTCTCTCATCTATCTGTATAATGCATATTTATTAGCATTTCTTTTCTAGGTTATACCTCTGAGAGACAGTTGAAGAAATTTCTCGGGGAGATACGAGATTTCATTCCTGGCTGTTCTGGTTATTTAGCATACTGGATTCCGAATGAGACCAATCTTTTCTCTGATGTGAAGATGAAATTAAAGAGGAAGTCATGAATAACTTCCTTATGAAGAACGATGGCCGTTTCTCAGTTAACTTCCCTGCAGTTTTTATTCCTTCTTTTTTTTTCAGTTGAGTTTGGAACGTTATTATTGCAAAAGCTGCTAAGTGCAAAAGTTGTGAAGTTTCACGCTGCTGTTTCTGTGGATGATTCAATCCGACCAAATTAGGGCATGTCCTGTTCTCAGAATTCCAGTTATTAAAATGTTGTTACTGTTTAATGAAATCAGTGTGTTTTAGATTCATTGTGTTTTGACATTTGCTCTGCCATGAAATACTAGCATTTTTATTTATATTTATTTACATCCTGCCTTTATTATTTTTATGCGTAATTCAAGGGGGAGGACATACTTAATACTCCTTTCTCCTCCTATTTTCCCCACAACAACATCCTTGTGAGGTGGGTCAATCTGAAAGAGAGCGACTGGACCAAACTCCCCCAGTTGACTTTTGCGCTTAAGGCGATACTAGAACTTCCCAATTCCTGGTGATTGGTCCAAAGTCACCCAGAGAGCCAACTTTGATTAATGGTTGGGAATATCGACTGTTGGTTTCATCTGTGTTTGCTACTTACAGCAATCTTTTGGAAATTGGCAAAAGGATCTAAATGGGGAGCAAGTCATTATTTCAAAAACATTAACTTCCTCTGCCAGATACAGTAGTGGCCAAAATTGAGGAAATCTTTTGGGAAAAGTGTATTTTTGAGGTTGGATGGCTAATAACACCACTTTTTTTGGGAGTAGTACCATAAAATTATATATCAATGGAAAGATAATTTAATCAAGAATGTAATGCAACAAAGCTTGGTCAGTTATCTGTACTGTATTCTATGAAAGGTTATAGCCAAATAACCAGAAAAAGGAAGCACAACTTGCTTAGGTTGATCTCAGGTAGCTCTCCTTCATCCAATTGTAGCCAATGAGCATGAGTGTTTAGAGAGCCAATCGGGTGTCATCTTGTTTTGGCAATGAGCCAATCAGATCACAGTAGGATTCAGTTATTGATGTCCTGTATTGAAGTTGAGAGGAGGACGTTTGTCAGTGTGTTATGTGATCACTATCGAGTTGGTTAGTTTTTTGTGTGTTTTTTCATTTAGTGAGTTTGTAAAACATAATAAAATTAAAGTAATGGTGCAAAGAGTTGACTGGTTGCCCAGAAAGTGATGTGAAATAGTATTATTAAGTGAACAAGGCTACAGTTATAAAGAAATTAGAAGAAAAATTAACCAAAGGTGGCATTTCTACTGTACACTTTTCCCAAAAGGTTTCCACAATTTTGGCCACTACTGTACTCTGTGGTGGTGAATTAGTGCTGATCTTATCCAGACTGTGCCAGGAGGTGGCAGCATTGAGCCAGCCTGAACTGATCTAAACAAAAAAAAGAATTAAGCAATACGGTATTAATATCTGAGTTATATTATAATATACTGTAGAATTGTAAAAAACACCCTGGAGGAATGTAGTGACCAACTACTCCATATTGTAACCTAGAAAATGACAAGGTATTCAGGAAATCACCTGGAATTAAGCCCCCTGTGTCTGTTTTAAAGACCAGCGTATCTAATATAGTATCAATCCACAGATTGTGTAATTCACAATCTGTTATTGTGAATTACAGATGCAAGTAGTCCTCAGTTTTACAACCATTTGTTTAGTGACTGTTCAAAGTTACAACAGCATTGCAATAAAATAACTTGTGACCAGTTTCCACGCATAACGAACATCACAGCATCCCCGTGGTCGCGAGATCAAAATTCGGACAACGGGCACGTATTCAGGACAGTTGCACTGTCCTGGGGTCATGTGATCCCCATTTTGTAACTTTACCAACTGGTTTCTGATAAGCAAAGTCAATTGGGGTGGGGAGACAGATTCACTTAATGACCCCATGATTCGTTTCCCAACTGATTCGCTTCACAATTGTGGGCAAGAAAAGTTTGTAAAATGAGGTGCAACTCAGCAAACGACTGCCTTGCTTAGGAAATTTTTGGACTCACCTGTGGTCCTGAGGACCACCTGTATAATACATTTATGGGGCAGAGAGGGGGAGCTAAAGAGAGGGAGATACAGAGGGTGATAAATCTGTAAGAACACATGTTCTTACAAAGCAAGAATCCTTCGGTTTGACGTTATTCAATGCATTGTGCTTCTCTTCCTGGACCACAAGCCAAGTTATGTGGTCAGATCTGTTTGTGTAAGAATGAGTTATGGTGAAACCAATGTCTTCTTTTCACCTGTGCTGTGCTCTTGGCAAGGGTGTTTCCTAATATTTGAAAAGGGAGTTAATTGTAGAACAGCCAAGTCAGAAATACGTCCCTTTACAGAATTGCTTCAATCTTATCTTAATCCCTTTTAATATTGCAAGCAAATAACCACATAAAAATGAGACTGCCCTTTCCATGGACCACATAATTATGAAACATGATATTTGAGGGTCTCCTACAAACTCAAGGGGGGGGGATCAAACTATTTTCCAAAGCACCTGAAGGCAGGAGAAGAAGCAATGGATGGAAACTAACCAAGGAGAGAAGCAACCTGGAACTAAGGAGAAATTTCCTGACAGTGAGAACAATTAACCAGTGGAACAACCTGCCCCCAGAAGCGGTGAATGCTCCAACACTGGAAGGTTTTAAGAAGAGATTGGACAGCCCTTTGTCTGAAATGGTATAGGGTTTCCTGCCTGAGCAGGGGGTTGGACTAGAAGACCTCCAAGGTCCCTTCCAACTCTGTTGTTCTAGGTTCTATGAATTTTGATTCCCAAGGTGAATTCTCTACAAATTTAGAACAGCCTCCAGGAGGAGCCCTTTGATAAAACTTGCATGTGTGATGGAAAGTGGGGAGAGACAAATGTGTGATTACAATTCAGCAACAAACGATAACTAGGTATGATTTCACAAAGGAGATTAATGCTTTTAAATCTCTACAGCATAACTGTGCTGCAAAAAAAGGGGGGAATTTTAATTTTAAAGCGAGCAGCTGTTCAAAATCATTAAGCTAATTTACAGATGTAGGCAATGCAAATACGCCATAAATTCCTATTTCAGTTTAAAAGGCGTCTGAATCTTATCTTCTCTCCCCCTGGAGATTGGGAGGAATTGAACTACTTCTATTAGATTGGATTACAGGATTGTTTCGTTAATTAATGGGACAGATCACAAAAGCTTCTGCCATCGGAATTAATTAACTACTATGCTAGATGCCGTAAAACCCTTCGACTGAAAATAGCATTGTGATTTCTTTAATTTCCAACACACAGCGCACAGGAATGTGTTATGATTTCTTTAATTTCATGTAAAAAAAGGGGCCCCAGGTTTTAATTGGGTGGCTAGGGAAGTTATTTAAATAAAAAATGTCTGCATATTGATGCAATACAGCAGTCCTTGGATGCAAATGTAATTGACATAGCATGCTGGGTAACTCTGACTGTAGCATAATTCAATGTGTGAGGTCCTTGGTGCTCTCGGAGCTTGGTGGTTTTCTTGCAGACATTTCATGGCCAAACTAAGTAGCGTCATCAGTGCACTGATCATTGTACACATCATTGGAGCACTGAAGATGTTACCTAATTTGGTCATGAAATGTCTGCAAGAAAACCTCCAAGTTCAAAGATCACCAAAGACCCCACAGTCATCCTCTTCTCCACTCCGCAAACCCCTCTTCCTCCTAGCACGGATACTGTTCCCCACATGGGTCATAAAATGTCTTCAAGAAAACCACTATGCTCAAAGAGCACCAAGACCCATGTTCAACCCCAAGCTACAAATATTCTCTTCTATTGATAGTTCAGTGTTCTTCCAAACAGCTCAAGGCATCAACCTGTGGCCAATTTATTCTCATTACAACCCCTCCTACAGGGATAAGATTTGAGGAAACTTAGCAATCTTCATGACTGAACACAGAAGGAAACCTGGATTATTACTTGTCTGGTTCTTTAGCCATATCTTCCTTAATTTGGTTTCCTCTACAAATTCTGGACCACAATTCCACCCTCCCAACCACCATCTCTGATGGGTTGATGGAAATTATCCTTTGAAACATCAGCTGCTGTGCTCAACTCATGTACCAGCCCATTAGTGGCACAGCCTTGTTTCTCGTTATGTTGTACACTGGCCCAGGAGGGGTGTGATTGTTGAATGGAGATTCCTTGGAGGAGCCAATCAGCCTTGTGTCATCTAATTAGAGAAAACCCCGGCATGGGACATGAGGTTCTTGTGGCCTCAGACTTAATTCCTTTGTCTTCTCTAACTCATCCACCCCAACATCTGTTTGCCGCAGAGACAGACGCTGGCAAGGTCAGCCTTTGAATGTTACATCCCTGTTCTTTATGAATTCCACTTTTCAGAAGGGCTTCCCAATAATTCTGCAAGTACAGGGAGTCCTTGACTTACAACTACGTCACTGAAAAAAAATGTCTATGGAGATTCAGTCTTCCAGATAAACTGCTATGCAATCTGCTGCCAACGTCCGTATTTTAAACATTGTACAGTTGTGGTTTTGCTGATGTAGTGCAAACCGATCACTTTGCAATCTTGAGATCCATTGATGTTTGAGCACCTTCCTTCTCCAGACGAATGTACACTGTTTATCCTCTAGTATTTGACCTCTTGACTTTACATTTGTAATATTGAAATCCTGTACTATTTCAGTTACTTCACTGAATGAGCTCACCCTCCCGAGATGTTTCCCCATAGTTACCTTTGTTAACAATGCTTCTCTCTTTCAACAACAAATTCCTTTATTTCCTTCTATAAGGTTACTAATGAAATTACCGCCTAGGACTGAGACTAAAGGAGATGGAAGGAAGGAAGGAAGGAAGGAAGATAGTGAGGAGAGAGGGAGGGAGGGAGGGAAGGAGGAAAGGAGGAAAGAGAGGGAGATAGGAAAGGGAGGGGAGGGGAGGAAGGAAGGAAAAGAGGGAGAGGGAGAGGAGAGAAAGGGGAGGAAGGGAGGGAGGGTGGGAAGGAAGGAAAATAGTGAGGAGAGAGGGAGGGAGGAAA